GTGCGTATATTAATTTATATTGTTTAGTATTTTTGTATAATATGTATTTATGTAAATTCTCAAACTATGGATATAATCTAAAAATCTTTTAATTTCGCCTTTGGCTCTGGCTCCAAGATATTTGGCTCTAGCTCCAAGAAATTTGGCTCCAATTTACTTCCAGGAAGTGGAATATTTGGCTCCAAAGAATACATGAGAAAACCCAATATTTTTGGTGGTGTTCTTTTTTGCTCGTGTACTCCAAACCTTCACAATTGGTTAAATCATCACAATTTGTTGAGCTACAGTTTGCATCTTCTCAATTTGTAGTCAACAATCGCCCCCCTAAGCCCTTCTACCGACTCCGTCTTCTCCAAATCCTCATAATCGGTTCGTCGTTTTCACTCTCTGCAATTTGCATTACTTCCTATTTCTCTCGAAACGACTTTTTTGGTAAGTAGTAATATATAGCCTTTCTATATTTCTTTCATATATCTCATAAAATTGATTTTTTTTATAAAGCTCTCTATTCTTTTGCTTCTTGCACATGTATTTACACACAGGGACTCTACAGTAGGTAATGAATTTTGATTTGAAGATAAAAATGTTTCTTACTTATTTTTAAAATTTTGGTGCTAAGATATATGCTTTATTGCATTGCAGATGTCTGATGTATCTTTCATTGGGCCATGTCTATTTGATGATGATCGATATATAGATTTACACTCACCATCTGATACAAGTGTTTTATTGTTGTTGAAAGCAACGAAGGAAAAGATAATGCAGGAGGAACCAATGTGGCTGTAGGTACTGGTTCAACACAAGTAAATAAAACAAATATCAAAGAACATACTCCATATGCTAAACGGAAAAGAAAGAAGACTTTGCCAGCTTGGGGACATTTCGAAACGATAACATTTATAGATGGAACTGAAGGGTCTGAATGTGTTCACTGTGGTGAAAAAATTAAGAAGCTTAAGGAAGGGACGACCAAACCATTGCTTACACATGTTAGTGATTGCCTAATATTAAATGGTGGCAAAGGTCAGTCAAAGTTAAAGGTTTCACATGGAAAGACAGATTCTTCAACTACGATCCAAAATTGGAAGTTTGACAATACTAGGATGAGGGAGGTTATTTCTCACATGATTATGATTCATGAGCTACCTTTTAATTTTGTTGAATATGACTTGTTTAATGTGGTTATGAAAGAAGCTAATCCACTATTCAACAAGATCTCACGTGCTGCAACTAGACAAGATTGTGTGTCTAGTTATGAAATTGGAAAGAAAGGAATTCAAAAAATGTTAAATGCTGTCAATCGTGTGAGTATCACAACCGATATGTGGATATCATGTCAAAATATTCTTTATATGGTTGTGACATGTCACTTTGTTGATTCAGATTATAAGCTTCACAAATGTATTTTGAGTTTTGTTGATGTGCCTCCACCATATTCAGGTGTTGGTATATATGATTGTTTATACAAATGTCTAAAAAATTGGAATATTGAAAGTAAGGTGGCTAGTTTGACGGTTGACAATGCTAAGATAAATGATGTGGTTGCTAGGAAGTTACTTGAAAATTTGAATCTTCAAAAGAAAGTTGTTGGTGGGAAGTTATTTCATGTGCGTTGTTGTGCACATATATTAAACTTGTTAGTTCAAGATGGTTTGTCTGAAATTATAGATATAACCCACAATGTTCGTGAAAGTGTGAAACATGTAAATGCCTATGTCTTTAGTGATCTTTCAAAGCAATTATCCATGCCAAAGAAGCATTTAATATTAGATGTTAGTACCCGGTGGAATGCCACCTACGCTATGTTGTCTACAGCCTTGGAGTTTAAAGATGTGTTTAAGGATTATGCTGTTAGAGAATGTTCATACACCACTTTGCTGAGCGACGAAGATTGGAAAAAGTTGAAGATATTTGTTTGTTTTTAGCACTTTTCAACGAGGCTACACAAATAATTTCAGGTTCTAGTAGTTCATTTTATGTTTTTATGTATAATTTACCATATATTTTTAGTCATTTCACCATGTTAGTAATCTGATCGTCTAATATTTTTACTAATCTTATTATTTTCTATTGATTTTGCATAGGCTCCGAGTATCCTACATCAAATCTATTTCTTTTAAAGCTATACGGAATAAAAGAATCATTAGATGAATTAGTTTTGGATGGGAATGCTTACATGAAACCAATGGATGTTAAGATGAAAAAGAAGTTTGACAAATATTGGGGTCCTTGTAATTTGTTGATTTCCATGGCTGGTATTTTGGACCCTAGATACAAGACAGATTTACTTAACTTCTTTTTTAAGGCAATCTACTCTAATGATGAGGCATCTACGCATGTTAAACTTGTTATAGATACCTTGAAAGAATTGTTTGCAGAGTATGTTGAGGAGCATAGAACTACAAATGTTGTCCAATCTTCGAATGCAACAGATGGAACTGAAAGTGGTGCATCAAAAAGAGGTCCGAGTGTTACGACTTTGAGATTTGGTAAGAGTATCAGAAGTAGTACTGCTAAATACAATCAACATATCATAAGTGTTGATTCTATTGCTAGTGTAAAGTCAGAATTAGACACTTACCTGGAAGAAGGGGTTTATATTAGTGAGCCAGGTGCATATTTTGATGCCTTAGGGTGGTGGAGGAGAAAAAAACATAAGCTCAAAATTCTATCTAAAATGGCTGCTAGCATTTTGGCGATTCCTGTCACAACTGTTGCTTCTGAATCTGCTTTCAGTGCCAGTGGAAGGGTTATTGATCCACACCGTTCCTCTTTAGGAACTAAGATGGTAGATATGCTTATATGTGGATTTGATTGGTATCGTCAATATTACGGACTACAGAAAAAGAAAAACAAGGTAATATTATTAGTTTTTAAATAATAATACTTGTTATTCACAATGGACTTTACTTGTTTTTCGCTTGCATTATAGGAAATTGATGATGTTATATATGTTGATCTTCTGTGAGGTGTGACCATTTGAAAAGTTATGAAGTGTGATCATATTCAAGGTAAAATCATGCAAGTAGCTATTAACTTTTTACTTATCTCTTTATTAGTTATTAACTTATTATTCATCTTTTTACGGATAATGTTTTGTGTGATGTAGATAAAGGGCGAAGAACTTTAATTTTGCATTTTGGAAAAGATATTTGATGTGATGAAGTTAAAGGTCAAGCTATGCAAATTTTTTTGCAGAAGATATTTGAAAAAAAAGACAATATTTTAAGTAATTTGGATGTTTTTAATCGTAGGATTTGTTATAAACTTATAATACATGTATTTATGTTTTGGTGTTAATGGTGTTTTATCTTTATTTAACTTTGTTTATCTTCATTTAGGTTTTGTTTTTTTATATTTGTTCGTTTATGTTCATTTATAGTTCGTTTAGATTTGTTCGTTTATGTTCGTTTATCACCATAATTAATGAACATAAACGAACATGCACAAAGTAATTTCTTAAACGAACGAACATGAACAAGGTAATTTGTTTGTTTATGTGTTCGTGTTCGTTCATTTGTTCGGTTAAACTTAAACGAACGAATATGAACAACCCTCGTTTGTGTTCGTTTGGTTCGTTTACAGCCCTAAATGCAACCAAAGGGCTCTAAGATTTTATTTCAACGAAGAAGCTATCGTTTTATTGAAAATTAAAGGACTTTTTTTTGGCACTTGAGAAAAGCTGGTAACCACAAAGGGACACAAGCCAAAACTATAAGGGTTAAAATACAAAATGGAGTTAGCTTGGTCTACTTCGTAATTAACAGCATCTCAAGGGGTATTCTTGAACACTTGTAATTTCCCCAGAGCAGTTCAAACTTCAGAGTCCAACGAATCTCTCTCTCTCTCTCTCTCTCTCTCTCTCTCTCTCTCAAACACAGTGTTCATCAATGGCGACGAGTCTATGCATCATCTTCTGCATTCTCTTCATATCTTCATCATCTGCTCTTGATGAGAGTAAGTTCACCCTCTGTCTATGTTGCAAATTAGAATTATCTCCACTGCATTGTTTGCGGATAAATCCCTAAATTTACTGTAGGAGACAACTAAGATTTGATATTCTTTATGAACTTTACCTTTCCTATTTGCTTATTTCAAGGGCATGATCTAATTTAGAACCTCTAATTATTGCGATTTCATTGTTCCCAATCCGATTTCTTTGTTCTTGTGGTTAATTACCAAGAATTGCAATGTAGTTAGTAAATTCGAAGATTGGACCAATTCTTTTACAGATCTAATTTCTAAATCCCCGCTTAGTTTCGAACTTTACTTCATCTTTTTCTCGTTCTTCTTCTTCTTCTTCTTCTTTTTTCAATGTAGTACGATTAGTGAACATTACATTTAAGATCTGAAATGCTAACAAACTGAATTCAACCAAGAGAAAAAAGTGCACTACCTAACATTTAAGATCTCATCGGAATAATTGGAATCATCTTGTTCCAAAATCGCCGAAATTAATACTCTTTTTCACATTCATCTAGATAACTAAATTGCTTACCTTTTATCTTCTACACTTCAAGAAATATACACAATAATTCAAAAGGTTAGAATTTAGAAGCTATTTTACCATGCTATAAGACTTGTGATTCTAAATAAGCATATAAGTTGTATTTCTTGTTAACAGAAAACGTCACTAAAAACCCAGCCGACGAGCTAGTAGCAATAGTGAACATAAACAGAACATCCCACAAATCATCCTCCCTCACCAACAACCCCGGCCTCGCATGCATAGCTCTCCAATACATCAAAGCCTACCAAGGAAAATGCGATGAAGTCGGTGGGCCCGACGCCAAAAAACCCGCCGAATCCGAATTCGCCGAAACCTTCGCCCCCAACTGCGGAGTCGAAGTGGCCACACTCGCCCCCATCACAGGCCGTGTGCTCGGGTGCCAATCAAAATACATCAAACCCGATAAAGTGTTCACACAAATACTAACGATGAAGAGCACAAGTTTGAATATAATCTACAACACCACCCACACCGAGATCGGGGCGGCAGTCAGCGGCTCAGATGGCGGTGGTCCGTATTTCTGGTGTCTTCTTTTTAGTAACGGGAAATCGAATAGTAGCTTTGTGTTGGAAAGGGGTGAGGCTAAGATTACTAGGCCTAGTTGCTTTAGTGGTGCTAATGATGAGTGTAGTGGTGTGAATGGTTTGTTGGAAAATTTGAGTTTTTTGATGATTTTTGTTGGTGTTTTTGTTGTGGGGTGTTATACGATTTTGGTATGAGTTTTCTTGAGTATTAAGTTTTTTTTTTTTTTTTTTTTGAAATTCCTTTGTATTTGTTCATTTATACAAGCTTAAAGATGTATTTGTACTAGTGTTGTTAGGTTGTGTATGTTATACTGGATACGTATGTTTTTTGTTGATAAGATGAGGAAGGATGTTACGTCTTTTACTCACGCAAGTATCTCTCATCATGTCCGCTTTTTAGGGGAGGAAAAAGTTAAAAGTTTATCTTATTATTAGTGGTAAAAATCTAAGCCCAATTCACATTATGTTAATATAATCAACTTGTTAGGTTGTATGTTTGTCCATGTCTATTTTTCGTAGACTAGATGAGAATTTATAAGGAGGCATCAAATTCAAATCTAAGCATTAACTTCCTTAATTGATATTTATATTTTCTCATGTTGAACATGAGATTGGTTGTTGGGACACTTAAATGTAATGTTTCAGTTATATTATGATAAATAGTTTTAGATTATAAAATTGTTATAAGATAATGCCTCAAAAGTTTACAATTAATAACATGCCGAACTTTCCTTCTCAATTTGTATAGAGCTTATTAAGTGTTTTGATACAAAATCATAAATTAAAGAATCTTTCATGTTGAACATGAGATTGGTTGGACCCTCTTTAATGTCACGTTGCAATTATTAAATGATAAATAATTTTAGATTTTAAAATTATTGTTAGATAATACGTCAGAAGTTCACAATTAGTAACATGCTGATGTTCCTTCTCAATTTGTATAGTTTGGTAGAGGTGATTAATAGTTTTAATACAAAAACATAAATTAAGAATTTTCCATGTTGAATGTGAGATTTGTTATTGAGATACTTAAGAGTTGTTTCTTTTTTGTTTAGATCTTAAGTGGTGTACGGATAAATGGCTTAATGGATAATGATATTTCTATTCTAATTTCAATAAAATACCAGAGGGATAGAGAGAAAATGACATATTGATTTTGTTCATAGCAATGTATTAATCTGCACTCAAAAGAATAACATAAAAGGAATATTTACATAAGAAAGTTAGGACTAGTAATAATATTACCCCCTTCCAACGTAAATAGGGAAATAAATAAGAAAAATCGTCACTTCCCCTCAAATCGGATTTGGAAATCAATCATATCCAACTTGCTCTTCTTATTTTCAAATTTATTATTTGGAAGGGAGTTGATGAAAACATCAACAACTTGAAAATCTGATGAAACGTTCAACAACTCTGAAATTCGAGATTCTAAATAAAGTGGCGACCAATTCCCACATATTTGGTTATTGGCGAATTTAGAACCAAAAATCACGCAGTTTCTTATTTAAATAACACTGAAACTGTAACATCCCATTTAAAATATAATAATTAAATAATAAACCCGAAACCCCGAGAAGCAATTATTATTATTATTATTATATGTTATTATAGTCCAAAATCAAATAATAATTATCGGAATGTTAGTTTTGGGGGTTAAAGAATAAATATCAGACTTAATTTGAAAGGATCTTGGATGGCTGGGGTTAAAAGGGTAAATTATGTGCCTAAGTTGAAAATAATTGGTCATGGAGGGGCCATATGGTAAGTATTCAGATTTGATATGTAATGATTTTCAGAAGGGAGGGTTTAGATTGTAAATTAAAGAGTTAATTTGAAAAGAATAATGGAGGGACTGAAATTGTCAATATGTGCCAATGTTTGAGAGGGAGCGGGACTTATAACCCATCACCTCCTCGTCCTAACCCTAAACCTAGCAACACACATCCAGCTGGCATCTTCTTCTCCCTCGTCCAGCCGCATCTCCCTTCGACTCCTTCCTGTTCCGATCAACCAAATGCCGCCGGCGGACCTTGCTGATGGCAAGCACATCTCGTTCCACTGTTCCATTGCCGAATACAACCACACAACGTGGGTGTAGCTGTTGCCGTTTGTTGAGCGCCGCCATCTATGCTGGAATCTGGAGACCGACAACGTGGCTGTATCGCTGCAACCTTCTTTCTTCTCTTCTTACCGTTAACCTTCGCGGTTACCGCTAACGTTGTTGATGTCGTCACCGTGTCCGGAAAAGACGTGAGGTGTTCCGCTGCCAGTCGTGTTTGTGTGTGCTTCAGCCCATGTGACGCAAGCATGTGAGTGGGTTGTGGTTGTTGTTCGACTGTAGAGACTCGCTTGGCCAGAGAAGCCCCGTGAAGAGCAACCATGGCGGCCGACCATGGTGGTTGTAGCCGTTAACCGATGCTACTGCCGCCAAGCTCAGCCACTGCCACCGCCGCCGTGCGCCTCTAAGTGGGTGGCTGGGTCTATTTCCCAATCAGAAGTGTATTGGGTGTGTTTCCATTGCTAGGGTATTATGTGTGGGTGTGTGTTTATTAGTGTATGTGGTTATATTAGTATGTGTGTGTTATTTGGATTGTGTTGTAATTATAATCATGCCGGAATAATCAATAGAAAAACTTGTAACCACCACCGGCCGCCGTGTCGGGTGGTGGTGTGTTTTGATTGCGTTTGGACCTCGCTTGGGGGATGTTTGCACAATGTGGGATCAATGAAACCCTAATGGGCCCAAAGAAAACCTAGTGGTCCCAATGGAACCCTAATGGGCCCAGTAAGGCCCAATGTGACCTAAAACCCAACCAATGGACTAATGGGCTAGTATTGGGTTGGAAAACTTTAATTAGAGTTTGGAAAACCCTAATCGCATAAGACCCTAATTTTGAGAATTAATCGAGACACACACAAGATTATTTAATAAATTGAAATACTAAATAATAATCATTGACAAAATTAACCTGAAAGCAATATTGGACTTAATGTATTAAGTCATTAATGGGTTTAGTAAGAAACACTTAACTGTAACGACCCGAAAATCAAGGGTAAAAATTTCATTTTTAATATAACCCAAAATAGATATCATTTATTCCAAACATTTCAAATCATCATTAAGTAAAACATTTATCAGAGTTCATCCCAAAATCATTAAGTAATGCAATTACATTACATAATATTTAAAGAGTAAAGAAAACGCTAGAAAATAAGGAACTAGTGGTGCTAACAGTTAACCATGATCCTAATTAAAGAAAAGAT